CCCCGCCGTAGCACCCGTCGCCGTACATCCTACGCGCCACCGTGCAGTCCTCGCGGTTCCGATCTCCTCTCGAGACGTCGAGCTTTACTACGCCGGAGATTTTCGGCATCGGATCTCCGACCGCCGCGTAAACGTAGCGGTTGGGTTTACCGACGAAGGCGGGGTTGATGACGGCGAAGTCGAGGTTCCTCGTCGAGATCGGGTGACGTGTCACGATCCCAGTCTTCAGATCGATCCGTACCTTCTCCACCAAGGCGTGAATCAGATCCATCCTCTCCAGCGTGTGTTCGATCGACATGATGTTAGGGGCGATTAAAACGACGGCGTTTCCGTCGTCCTCGTCCCAGGCGTTAATGGCGTGAACGATGTTGAACCCAGGGACTTCGAACCATTTCATCTCCGATTCGTTACCGGCGTAACGGGGAATCACCCCGAGCTTTGGGGTTTTTCCGGTGTCGGTTCCAACCGGAGATCCGCCTTCGAACATCATCTCCACCGGATTCATCTTCATCCCGATCTGGATATCGGAGAATATCGCATACCGTTTCGTGATCGCGAAGTCGTGGAGGAACGATGGCGAGGTCATGGAGAAGATCGGGACGTCCGGTTGTTTTCCTCCGGCGGGATCGAATCGGAAAAACGTTAGAAACGGTGGGACAGGGCCGTACCGGAAAGCGAATGTCTCGCCGGTATCTGAGTCGACCTTCGGGTGAGCCGTCATGCTCATGAACAGCTTCCCGTCAAAATCATGCCGACCTATCGTCTCGATATCACCGTCCGGCCTCAATCTGATGGCGTACGGAAGATCGGACTCTCCGAGAGCGAAGAGGCTGTTCCCGAAGAAGGCGAGGCTCGTGTTCGCGAGACCAATGCCGTTCGCCGGATTGAACTGTCCGGTCAAAACCCGAACTGCCGACAAAGCTCCTCGTGCTGCCGACGCTGTCACGCCATTGAAGCCGGAAAACACGTTCGGGAACACCGGAGCTCCGGCCTCGCTCTCGACGGTGTACTTGTACGTCTTGACATAACGGCTGCACAGAGTGGGTCGGCCGCCATGGATGCGAATGGCGTGGAGCATGCCATCGCCGTCGAAGAGGTGGTACGGCCCGCGAGGAAGAAACTGCGGATTCGGCCCGTTTCGAATGTACGCACCGTCAAGACACGGTGGGAGGGATCCGTACACAACCTCGCACTCTGTCGGTGGAAGCTCGTCCAGGACAGGAGCAAAGTTGTCGGAAAGCACATGTCTCGGGTCGACGGAAGGGCGCGACGGAGGGTCTATGAACCTGTTGATGACCTCATCGACGGTGCTGAAGATCGCCGTCGCAACCGAAACCTCCGGGCGTGGTCTGGTAATAGCACTCGTCTTCTTCGTCTTAGTCGTCGTGGGGGGAATGTACGGTTTAGTCGCCGGAGAAGAGGGACGGCCGTTGGTGGTTACGGTGGCCGGAGTCCGTTCTTCGACGACGGCGGAGCTGATACGGAGGAAGCGGTGGGAGGATCGGTGGAGAAGAGGGTGGCGAAGTTGGAACTTTGGTGAGAAAGTGGGGATGAAAGAAGAAGAGTAAAGAGACTCCATTGTTGTGGAGGTGAAGGACGGAGAATAGTGGTGTGGGAATTTAACTATTTATTAACGGAGTCTTTGGATTTATTTCAGATATTTGGGATTCATACATGTGAAGCTAATTTATCCTGGCTCTGTTGGTGTCTGGCCATTAAAAAAAATAATTTTTTTTAAGGTGTTTATAATATATCTCATTTCTGTTGGATTTTTCACATGATCAAAAAATGTAAAGATTGGGTCTTTTCTCTCTCCAATTTGGGCCACCTACTCTTTTTATTGTTGCTTTGAAGTCTCTTCTTTCTCTTTTTTTGAAGCAATTGGATAAAAGAACAAAAGGAAGCAAAGTGAAAGTTTTGAAATTTACTAATGGCAAAGAGGATAGAAACTGTGGATAACTGTGAGATTTATTTTTATAAAACACTCGTATTAATTATATAAAATTTTATTTTTAGGTTATTTTTATATTAGGTATGGTTTAGAATTTTTTTTTTTTGTGGACAGACCACAAGGTGGCCTCTAATTAAAGAACAAAAATACTAAACCATTAGATTTTTTAATTTTAGAAAAAAAAACATTTGATTTTTATATTATAAACGGTTGTGGGCCAAAAAAAAGATGTATATGAAATTTATCTATATTCCTCGTGATCAATGGGCCAAAGCCCCCACAAAGTATACCTTCGCTGCCTGCAAAGGCCTGAGTCATCATAACTCGGGTCGCGACCCGGCATAAACCCAGGATCCGAACCCGGAAGCCAAATCCTTGGTTGCGTTTTCTTCTTCCTCCCTCCTCCGACGAGGTTTTATCTCGGCTACTCTCCGCAGATTCCTCCACACTTCTCCTTCGTATCGGCCATGGCAACTCTTTCTCTGCCATCTTCTCTGAAACCTTACCTCTTCTCTCACAGACTCTCTTTTCCTTCCTCTACTTCTCTCTCTTCCCCCCCTTCCTTCTGTTCTTCTTCTCCTTCGTCCTCTCTCAGACCCGGCGCCCGACCCATTTCCGCATCGCTCGAATCTCATCCTTCGCCGTCGCCGTCAAAATTCTCCGGTGCCTCTATACTGTTTTCGGCCACACAATCGCCGGCGACCGCCATGCGTGGAGCAGAGTCCGATGCCATGGGACTTCTCCTCAGGGAGCGTATCGTCTTCCTCGGCAGCGAAATCGAAGACTTCGTGGCTGAATCCATTATGAGTCAGTTGCTGCTGCTGGATGCTCAGGACCCTAAGAAAGACATCAAGCTCTTCATCAATTCCCCTGGCGGATCCCTCAGGTTCATTCCAAGTTCGAACTTCGATTCCTTTTTCCTCATCTGGGTTTCTCCGATTTCGGTTAAAGATACGGTCTTTTTGCTGCTGGTTTGGGCGAATAGGTCTCTGATGCTAATCCAAATTCAGTTTCCTCTTTGCTCGGCAATTGAGATCTTAGGGTTCTAATTTGGAACTGAAAGAAATTCAATTTGTCTGCCCAAAATCCATTGGCTTTATGTTGCAATATCCATCACTGTAATCGGCAATCTACTGAATTCCTTCATTGAAAATTTTGTACCAGGGGCTAGTTTCTGAGCATTGTAAGAGATGAAAACGTTAGACAAGATTCTGTCCTGTATTGGTAAACTGAAGTATCTAAGTCAATTGCCTGGTAATCTTTGTTGGGATCCCTCAAGTGGACACTTACTTCACTTCTGAGAGTAGTTCCCATCTTTTTTTCTGCAGGCAATCAGTTCGTGTTCCTCGTGGAATTGTACATTAGACTTTTTGTCTTTCTTCTTGCTACTTGACCATCTGTTTCTGTGTTTTCACCAGTGCGACCATGGCTATATACGATGCGGTGCAATTGGTGAGGGCCGATGTCTCGACAGTTGCCATTGGCATAGTGGCATCGACTGCCTCTATAATTCTCGGCGGGGGAACTAAAGGCAAGCGCTTTGCAATGCCCAACACCCGAATAATGATCCATCAGCCTCTCGGAGGGGCCAGTGGTCAAGCCATAGATGTGGAAATCCAAGCCCGTGAAGTCATGCATAACAAGAACAACGTCACGAGTATCATGGCAGGTTTTACTGGTCGTACATTCGAGCAAGTCGAGAAAGATATAGACAGAGACCGGTACATGTCTCCCATTGAAGCGGTTGAGTACGGGATAATAGATGGAGTCATTGATAGAGACGTCATCATCCCTCTGGTCCCGGTTCCGGAGAGGGTGAAACCAAGAATGAACTATGAGGAGATCGGTAAAGATTCTAGGAAATTCTTGACACCCGATATCCCGAATGGTGAAATATACTAGCCGAGCTCGATCAGACCAGGTGCATGATGCTACTTCCGATGCTACTTCTGTCTTTCTTTCTTACGTTCCGACCATTCCATGACAGTGGCTCAACACTAATGGAAAACTAACAAAAAACAGGGTCATGCCTCTTTAGCTATAAGATCAACAATTTTTCATATCCACTTTCCAAAGACAATGATCTGTTATTGTTCAGACAGAGATGTATATGATAATATTGTCATCTTCCCTGATCACGTTTCTTCACTTGTGGCTCTGATTCAGGTAACTGGGGCAGGACAAGCTCGTTCAGTTCCGCAAGCTGGAGGCCAAGTCTCTGTATCGCCTGTCAGATAACCGTTGTTTTAATATCTCTGTTTCAACACAAAAGGTTATATTACTCTTTCACTTTTGTCATAGCCATGTATTAGGAAGTTGAACAATCTCTGAATCTGATGGGGTTCCCCCTTACATTCTGAAACGAGCCATTGTCTTGAAAGTAAGAAGTCAAACTTGGACTTTGACTTTGTATGAAACATATGTTTCTTGGTACTTTGAGAATCTAAGATCTTGAGACAGGCTCGGTACAATACAAGTGCATAAGAATCTAGTTTAGTGTCATATGGCAGGAATTCATACGTGATTTCTGAAGATTTACACTATACATTCCCTTGGATTCTCCGAGAAGATCAAACAGAGACATGGAGATGAAGTATGCAACTTCAGTACTAACCACCAAGAGATGAGACATCGGTGGTCTTAGGGGAGCCAAGATTTTGCATTTTGTAAGATCCGTACAAGCAAGATTGCGATTATGGAAGTTGAGAAGCCGGAGACGATTCTGGCAACCACCTCGTCCTCGCTCGGGAACCATGACCTCGAGAATCTGGCGAATCTGGCAATCAATATGAATCAGAAATCAATTCTGAGAAGAACAAATGCTAAGGCAAGACAGAACCGACACACAAACAGAAACAATGTTCAGCAAGGCTAAGATCTTACCCTACAAGAGTTTCCTACACTTTCCAAGTTCAGACAAAACATGAAAACGATTAAATTTCCGGATTAGACGAATGTGGTTAAAGAACTCACAGGACAGCGTACTGTTTGACCATCCCTGTTACGGATGGATCCTTGGCTGCTCGGCAAGCAAAGAAGCTATCTGAATACAGCTTTATCTTCCGCATCCCCAACGTGTACCGACAATCGTAAGTCTCATTCACCTGGAGAAAACAGAGCATTCTCACATTCTTTTCGAAGAAAGTTACCAGCTTTCGAAGAGAAGTGGCTGTGGCCGAAAAAAACATGCCTTGAAGTTATGTCTGGTCCGCCAAGCAGCACTGAAGTTTGGTCTGCACTTAAGAGGAAGAGCCTCATCTGGTGCTTCTGCATATCCCAATCGTGTTTTGCCAAACAAAAGATCTTTATATTCCACCTGTTAACAACCGGAAGGAAAGAAATGCCATGGGCATGAGAAAGATACAGCTCTGAACTAACAATGGAGCTCTTCCTGGATATATATCAGACAAAGGACTATACCAGAAAAAAGGCAATTCTTGGGAGATGCATACATGGAGGAAGAGATTACCTTGAAGACAGAAGCCCAGTAGTAATCGTACCGACATCTGAACTTGTCTCTTTCGAAAGGGTAAAACATATGTTTGGCTTTGATGTTCAACAGTCCAATGCCGCACACTTCCGATGTCCTAAGATCCACGGCTGCATCGAAAGAGTTCGAGGAAAACCGATATATGAGTATTCAACTACAGGCTTGAATTCTCATTTTCCTTAATGGATCCAACTTAACATAACACAAATAAAGGAAATCAGAGAAAACAAGTATCGGTTTTCAGATCAGATTATTTCTCTGATCCCCAACCAAAGAAACAAGCATATGCATAACCATCACAGGAGATCATCAGAGCGAGCAAGACCGGGAACCCTTCAAACAAATTAGTCTACCCTTTCCAAATCCATAAGCTTTAACAGATCTCGAAACTCCAAACCCTCAAAATCATTGAGGCAGTATTCATCGATCAATGATCAAAAGTTCTTCGATCCATAACAGTAGGCTATAGCAAACACAGGAAGCAACAATCTATCAGATTCTTCAATCATTTGAAATCTTTTTGGAGGAGGAAAAGCTGAATCAGATAATAATAAGACTCAAAGCTCGACTCTTTCTGATAAAAGAGAACTGAAACTTACTACTGGAAACTATCTTGCAGCGAGAAGGGAGAGAGGCGGAAGAAGAAACCCATAATTCGCCGAGGAACATCACTAAGAACCCTAAGATAAGCGACATGAAGAAGAAGCTGGTGAAGGAGAAAACTATCACTTTACAGAACCGCCGAACTAACGAGGAGAAGTCCCTCGTTTCTCCCGTTTCCTCCGAATCCATTTTTCTTCGTCGCCGACATGATTCCTTGTCGGAATATATCGAAAAACACCGCCTCCACCGGAACATTGATCACGGCGACCGGAAATTCGACACCGGTGCCTCGTATCAGATATTTTCTTCTTCTTCTTTTTTTCTTTTTCCTTTTTGCTTCGACTGTCGTGTGATCAGAGAAGGGCTCAGTGTCGAGGAACCTTTTATTTCCGACCGGTGACTGGGAGAGGACGGTGCATGCTGACTCAGCAAATGGCTTATCCACTTGCCACGTCTTCTCATCATTGTCCACGTCACCTAGATATTTTTTTTGGATGGAAACGTCACCTAGATATTTGTTTCATTGGAGATATTTACAAATGTTTTTGGTGGATAAGATTTGGCCTGCCCTGAGATTTTTTTATTTATTTATATGGGTTGGGTTGGAGCTCTATATTTTTGGTCTCTTAAATTCTATTTTTTTTTATAAAATTTAAAACTTATTTATCCTTTTTTAAAAAAAAATTAACTTAGAAAGATATAAAAGATTTGTACCATATACTAATTAAAATAATCTGAATTTGTAGATTTTTATCAGTTTTACTTAATTCAATCTAAAACAATTAGAGGCAAGCAATTAGAAAAAGATGAAAATTTATCCAAATATCTACATAATAATGATTCACAATAATTTTAACAAATATACTTATTTTATTTTAAAAAAATAACTACTTTTATCATGAGATTATAAAATTAAAATGAAATCATATGTTTGAATAATAGGAAAAAATGAACAATAGAATACTGCAGGTCGTCTGCTGATTTCTAACTTTTTTAGCCCATTGGGCTATTATTTGGGCCTTACCGCAAAATTCGTACCACAAATTTTAGCGCAGTCCACCGGCATGATACGTACGAATCTAACGGCTCATATTCTCTGTATCTCCTACGTGTAAACTCGAACATCTCACGTGTGCAAAAAAAATAAAAATAAATAATTCCACGTCAGCAGCTTATATCACTGCAAAACTTGCAATGGAAGCCGGTAAGGCAGTAACTTTTCGGTTATTATTCTGTAACCGCACGTTCATAACTATATTATACATTTGATATGTGAGGTAACAATATGTTTATTTATGATTTAATTTTTGATATTACTAGTAACGGTTACCTACTGATAAGCTAATAACACAAGAATCTCTGTTACAAGAATATATAAACTGAAGGATTAATTTTAATTACGGGGTTGCTTATGGAGGGGCATATCCGTAATTTTCTCGAATCCAGACCAAGAGTTCCCAACTCCGAAAAATGTTTTAGTTTCCCTCTCAAAAGGGCACATAAAGTTCTCCCCTTCCCGCTAGGGTTCATTTGCGTCCCTTTGGGTCTCTGTAGATTTCTCTCCGATTTCATCGCGATTTCCCTTCGTTTTCTCGCCGTCTAAACGCTCTCATTTCCGTATTTTTCCGTGAATCTTATCCCTTTTCTCTCTTGAATCTCGATTTACTGCTGCAACCTACTGCGGGAATCGAGTTTCCCACACTTTCTCGGCATCCAAACAGTGGGACAATCTAATCGACGTTTCTTAATCCAGTATCTGCAGTCTGTAACTCTTGGAAGCCTTTGATATTCTAGGGTTCCCAGTAAGATGGCGGTGAATCTGTCGCCGGGGGCGGTTGTGAGGATGTTGAATGGGGAAGTGACGACCGAGAAAGAAATGATGCCGGTGTTGCAAGTGACCGAGTTGAAGCTGGTTCAGAGCAAGCTTCAGCAGCAGCAGCAGCAGCCGCAGCAGCAGACGG